TCTCTCTCTCTCTATATATATATATATATATAGAGAGAGAGAGAGAGAGAGAGAGAAGGGATCATATGAGAATGGTAGATAGTGAAAGAAATAAGAATGATTGTGGAGCATTGGATCCAACATATTAAAGGTTATGATTTAGTCAAATCTTAAATATGGCAGTCAAACATATTGTGGCACTTTTGTAAATAAGTGTACAATTCGTGGTCAAACATAGAGATTTGACCACATAGTAAGGATAAATTAGACATTTGTTACCAACCCACTATCATGTGGGGCCCACTACAACCCAACATTAATCCACACCCACCTATTCCTGCCAGGCTGCCACCAACCCCGTCATCAACAAATTTCACCTGCCTCTTACGATCAAAACAAAAAAAAAACATACAAACACACACACAGTGCACACACACTCCCTTCACGCTTACGGACAGGCACACGGATGGAGCACCAAATCAGCCGCCCTCTGCCGGCCGTCGTCCGGCGACGGCGACGGCGCCTCCCCGTCTCCCCATCTCTCCAGAAATCCGATGGTCCCTGCTATGCAGCCTAGCCGCCGCGCTTCCACAGTTTCACTTTCTCCAGAATTCCAGCGGTCACTGTTACGCAGCCCCGCCATCGCGCCTCCCCAACCCGGCCAACGCGCCTCCTCAGCCCGTATGACGCGCCTCCCCAGCCCGGTCACCGCGACTCTACAGCCCCGCTCCTCTGTCGACGGCGGTAAGCGGACCCCGAAGCTTCTCTGACGGGATGAAAAACGAATGCGCCGGCCGAGCTCGTCGCCGGATTTTGGTGATATGTACGAAATGATTGTAAGTATTGTGGTAGATGAAGAATAATTGGGGATAGGGCTTGGGAGGCATCACGACAGGGTCGTGGCTGTGTCGACGACGTCGGTTCCGGCGGGACGGTGGCCGGTGAAATCTGTGATGTGCCGGTTTGGTGTCTGTTGAATAATTGGAGCTGGGGTCTTCAATTGAAAATTTGACAAATATTGGGGACTTTTATGAAATATTATAACTTCTAACATATTGTAATTTTAGTACTTGGGGCTATATGTAATTTAATAAAAATTAAATACATGTACAATAATAATAAATATAACATCCCATAATATGCAACATATCATACATTAACGTGCAAATTGTATAGTAATGTTGTGCACGGTTTTGATCACTATTGTTTAGTCTTGAACTGACAGATATTATAATGTATCGAACCAATTTAAACTTGAACAAGATTAATTAGCTTATTTGATTAGTTAATCGAGTTTAACCAAAATCGAGTTTAACCAAAATAACTGAATTGAAATAATATAATTCAGATCATAAAATCATATTTATTATTTTAATATTTTTTTGTAACATTTTATATTTTTTTACTGGAAAATATTATTTTTATATAAAAATAGAAATATCATCGTATCGAAATGACTATAACATTAAAGGTAAAAATATATTATCGATCTGACATATAAAGTTCGAACAAAAAACTTAATTTGGTCTGTTTCGGTCGATATAGTGCAATCCTGCAGTAACTAATGTGCAATTCATAGAACATTAATGTGCCAATTCATAGAACATTAATGTGCATTCGAACTGCAACTTTTTTTTTTAACGTTAATTCCAAAATCAAAATAAAAATGAAATAAAGTGTGTATTTGATCGGTTAACCGAATTAATATAATTAATCTATATAGTTTATAATTTATATTATAATAAATATTTTTTGGCACGTGCAGCGTGCCGTTTATAAGGTGCAACATGTTGTGTTATAAGGTGCAACACGTTGTGTTATAAGGTGCAACATATTACTGTATAAAATGCAACATATTAATATATAAAATGCAATACTGGAATTTGGTACGTTAGCATATTTTTGTTTTTGTGAATATTGATGGATATTAAAATAATATGTAGATCCGTTTTTAGATTTATATTGCGTTATATTTTTAGCGGAAGCTGTTTGACATTAATTGTGACGTGTGGTGATAAAGTGCAATGTGATTTTTTATAAAGTGCAATGAGTTGTTTTATAAAGTGTAACGTTCTGCTATATAAAGTGCACTAATTTATACATTCATAAATAAATTATGTGTATTCGAAAAGTAGTTTTAATAGATATAATTGTCCATCAGATTAACCTAAATAATTAAAATATATTCTTATTCATTTTTTTCATTATATAAATAATTTATTATTGTAATTTATTTTTATATTATTCTTATTTAATAATTTATTTATTATTAATATATATGTATAACAAATAATATAGAAAATAATTTTTTGTTAACTTTCAATAATTACACATTTGATCCATGTATTAAATTGAAATATAATTAAAATTGTCAAAATTGCAAATAAGTCCCTAAGCATAATTCAAGCATAATCCAAGTCTCAACAAATATGGTCAAATTAAGAAAATGTCTAAAAATGACCCACAAATTAAATAAATAAAGAATAGCAGAAGGCATGCCCCTAAAGTCAAAGAACTTCTGGAAAACAATCAATTCATATCTACGTACTAGATATCCTTACGTTGAATTAAAAAAAAAAGGCCTAATTAACATGTTCGAAAAAAAAAGAAAAATAGAGATCCTCTGCAAGAGTTTCTTGCCTATTGAGAAGTAGAGATGAATACATAGATCTCGAACGTTTTTTGCCAATTTCACCAACATGCCCAAACCCACCTTACAATTTCAGATCTCAAATTGCCGGATTTTTTTTTTTTTTTCCGAGCGGATCTACTATTTTCCGCCGCCGTTCTAACCGCTGAAATTTCGGTGAAAAAACGGTGTCCGCCATGGCCGTGCAGGAGCTATCGGAGACGGTCGTCGGCTTATCATCCTCGTCAAACAGTGACGGGCAGAGAGACTGTTGCGACGGCAAGGTGGGCGGCGACTTTTGGCGGCGGGATCGGACGGTGGCCGTGGGCGTCGGTGATGGTTGGCGTGCACCCGGTGAGCGAGTCTGTGTTTTTGTCCCGTGTGTGTGTGTGCGTCAAAGAGAGAGAATGAGAGAGGGGTGGGGTGGAGTTGGCTGGGCAGGTTGACGTGGGTAGGGTAGTTGGCAGATTTGTGTATTGTACAGTGGGGTCTACAGTCTACTTATATTGATGTGGTATGAAAATTACCATATTATCCTTAATGAGGTAAATGGTTTTGATTTTTTTTAGCCATTAGATCATTCGGTCTAATGACTACATTTTATTCTTATTTCTTTCATTAATCATCATTCTCATGTGAACCCAACCCTATATATATATTATATTTAGTATGACACTTTTTATTTGTTCGACTTACCTGTGTTATATTATAATATTTTTTTAACTTACAACATATAACTACATTAAACATAAATATATTAATTAAGAAATAATTTCATTTTTCTAATGAATTTTAATAAATATTATTAGTTTTTAATATTATAAAGATAAATATAATTTATTTATTTCTTGTATACAATATGGATGTCAAATCGAAGATCATCAAAAGATGATTAATTAGATATTAGATATGTAAAACCGATAAGAAATATAAAAGTTATCAACTTTTAAAATATATTTATAATTCAATAGCTAATTGAAGGAAGCAAATCAAAAGTCAGTGATATATTAGTCACTTAGTGTCTCAATATGTAAAATTACAAAAAATTAAACTGTTATATTAGTACAAGTGATATTAAAATACCCTAATAATATTTATGGAATGCTCGAACCTAGATTATTAATTATTAATCTATCAATATTATTTGTCCAAACCTCATTACGAAGCATGATTCTTCGCCAAATAGGATTCCGAAGCATCAGAAGCAGCCACGTAGGCTCAACGTATTCGGGAATTATATATAGGGGGGATTTCTAGTCTTTACTAGAAAACTAGTACAACGCCCGTGTATTACACTGTGCTTGATAAAAAAATTTCTTAAAATTTAAAATTAATGAGAAAAAGTCCAGGAGGTCATACCTTGAAGAAGTCGAGTTGAAATCGACCAGTTAACCAATCGACCAGCTAAGCAGTCGATCAATCTATCCTTCGACCAGATGAACGGTCGAGCAGTCCAGTCGACCTCGAGCTGTCGACCACTTCGCGGACTTAACACTTCATAGATCGCCCTAGTCACAGGCGCGTGAAAGAGCCTCTAACGGAATTTCAGAAGAATATTCATCCCATGTGCAGGAGGACACGTGTCGAGAACTTATTGGTTGATAGCGACGACCACCTCTGACAGCTCCCAACGCCTCGCGCCACCTCTGACATACGCGTTGTGTGTCAGAGTACGGATGGGCAGCTTGGGCAGCCAGCTCATCTTATCCGGGCAGCTATTAGGGCAGGTATCCCACCCCTATATAAAGGAGGTGAGCCTTTCTCCCTTAACACGATTTTTCCATTATCCAAATCCAGTATATCATACACATACTGGCTTAAGCATCGGAGTCTCTTCACCGGACACAACCCCCAGTGTGAGAGTTATTTGCAGGTTCCCGATATTCTACCGACAAGGAAAGGAATCAATCTACCCCAAACCGGACCAGGACGTTCACACTTGCATTATTGGCGCCGTCTGTGGGGACTTTTGTTCAAAATGTTGTGTTTGAAGCTCAGCTATGGCGGACGGAATTCCCAGAACCAATTTGCAGTCGACATTCGACGATGCTTGGACGACGACCAGGCCGATTGGGCAAGGCCCTCCTCCGGGTTTCTCTGGCCCTTCACAGACGCTGGTCACCCGTCTTTCAAGGTGTGGGAGCGTCGATGGTGATCCCTGGCGGAGACGCTAGCTCTAGTCGTGCCCAAGAAGCTCGCGCAGCAGCTGCAGCGGCGATGCCACCGCCGCCGCCACAAAACCCAGTGGTGGTGCAGCAAGGTGGAGTGGTGGCACAAGGAGGAGCACCACCGCAGGTAGTTATACAAGCTCCCGGTCAACAGATGGTGACGATGACCCAAGAGGAGATGCAGAGGATAGCGGCGGCCGCGGCAGCGCAGGTGGTGAAACAAGTCACAAGCCACATATCGCACGCCAAAACCACGCCGACCACGGTGGTAGGGAGTCAAGATGAGGATGTGTCTAGTTATGGAGATGGAGGAGGCGTAAGGGATCGTGCGATGGAGAGGATGGCGGAGCAGTTGCGCCAGTTGCAGGACAAAGTTGAGGAGAGGCCGGAGAGGAGAGCTCGAGGACATCCTTTCTCGAGGGAGATTCTCACTGCTCCTTTACCGAATAATTTTAAGGAGACTAATTTGGTGTATGACGGGTCATTTGACCCATCGAGGCATGTGAGGACCTTTGAAAATATGGCTGTGTTACATGGATATTTTGATTATGTATGTTGTAGGGCATTTCTATCGACCTTGCGCGGAGGAGCACTTGACTGGTTTCATCAGTTACCCCCTGGGTCGATCGCGGACTTTGAGGATTTTGCCAGCAAGCTTACCAATCAATACTCAAGCGCGGTGGCGCAGGAGAAGACATATCTGACTCTGATGGCGATGAGGCAGAGAGAGAAGGAGTCGTTGAGGAAGTATGTTGCTCGATATAATCAGACATGTTTGGAGGTGCACTCAGCATCTGATGAGGTGAAGGCAGGAGGATTGATAAGGAGTCTTCGAGCGGGGCCTTGCCGAACTTCCCTGGCAAAGACCCCTGCTCGATCATATGAGGATGTTTTGAAGCGATGCAGGAAGTATATTAATTTGGAGGAGATGGAGGTGGAGTTCGCAAAATTGGAGGGGGCAGCTCGACCAGAGCCAAAGAAGGAGAAGAGCCCACAAAGGGGTAGGTCACCAAGGAGGAGTTCGCCCAAAAGGAGTGGGCCGAGAAGAGCATCGCCCAGGAGAGAGGGTCGAGATTCGAAACAGGAGAAAAAAGGATGATAGGTGGCAGGGGAGGCCTTTGTCGTTCGAAAGACAGAGGTACCATAATTTTACACCTCTGAGAAAAGACTTGACAGAAGTGCTCGAGGCGATGGAGCAGAAGATGTCGAGCGAGGATGTGACGTGGCCGAAGACGAGGTTTACAAGCCCGATTCTACCCAGATCAGATATCTATTGCCGTTTTCATCGAGATTACGACCACACCACAGAAAATTGCAGGCATTTGAAGGATGAGATTGAGAGGCTTATTCGAGCCGGACATTTGAAAGAATTTGTGTACCATGATAGGGCAAAAGGAAAAGGAAGGAGGAGATGTCGGGAAGATTCAGAGGAGAGGAGTGATAGGGATGATGAATGGGATGATAGGGATGGTCGAGGAAAGAGGCCGAGGGGAGATGGAGATAAAGGAGGGTGCGGAGGCGAAGCCCCTATGAAGAGAGGGACAATTTATATGATTTCAGGAGGGCCGACAGATGGCGACTCGAATAACGCCAGGAAGGAGCATGCTCGAGCTGTGAAGAGGAAGAAAGAGGAGGTGGGGATTATGGCTCGCATGCCGGTGATAAGTTTTAAAGCAGAGGATGCTGAAGGAGTGGTCTTACCACAAAATGACGCTCTGGTGATTACCGTGGAGGTGGCGTGCTTTGATGTGAAGAGGGTGTTTATAGATACCGGGAGTTTGGTAGACGTGATGTTTTATGATTGTTTTGTGCAGATTAACAAGGAGCTGAATATGGAGCTAAAGCCGGTGGCCACGGCCTTGTACGGATTCAATGGGGGCGAAGTAATGCCGATAGGCGAGGTAGTCTTCTAGTTGCATTAAGATCAGTAATGATGAGGAAGGTGCGGATGGTGAGGTTCGTAGTAGTCGGAGCTGAGTCATCTTATAATTTCATTATGGGGAGGACGAGCTTGAACGCATTCCAGGCGGTCGTATCCACGTACCACATGACGATCAAGTATCCCGTGGGCGAAAACGTAGGTGAGATTACCGGGGATCAACTTACTTCGAGAAGCTGCTACCAGACAACGGTAAGCAATAACAAACAATTGGCGAGAAGGCGGACCAAGTCGAAGGAGGATGAGATTAATCGACCAAGTGGGTCGAGGTCAAAGGAGGACAAGCAGAGAGTGGAGAAGGGTAAGAAAAAGATGGATATCCAACTTGGAGGTGAGGTGGAGGAAATCCAGATGGTCGAAGAATATGAGGAGATGAAGTTCAGAATTGGGAAAGATTTGGAGGAGCCTATCCGGTTAAAGTTGATCGATCTGGTTAGGGAGTTTGTTGATGTTTTCGCTTATAAAGCAGAGGAATTGACAGGGATAAGTGCGGAGGTGATCGAACATCGTCTGAACATTGACCTCAGTGTGAGGCCCGTGAAACAAAAAAGGAGACACCACGGGGCAGAGATGGACAAAATCATTGAGAAGGAGGTCGAAAAGTTATTAGGAGCTGGGCGTATCAAGGAGATTCAATTCCCCGAATGGTTGTCAAATACGGTGATGGTGTCAAAGGCGGAGGGGAAATGGAGAATGTGCATTGACTTCCGCGATCTAAACAAAGCATGCCCGAAGGATTTATACCCATTGCCTAGAATCGACCAGCTGGTCGACTCGACTGCGGGATGTGAGTTGTTGAGCTTAATGGATGCCTCCCAGGGGTACCATCAAATTCCCTTGGCGAGAGAAGACAGAAAGCGGGTGAGTTTCGTAACTAGTCGGGAAACCTATTGTTATATGGTGATGCCGTTCAACTTGAAAAATGCAGGCGCCACGTATCAGGGGTTGGTCGACAAAATTTTCAAAGAAAAACTTGGGAAGAATATGGAAGTATATGTGGATGATATGTTAGTGAAGAGTAAGGAGGAGGTGGATCATGTGCAGGACTTAAAAGAAACATTCTTAACATTAAGGAGGTATGGGATGACGTTGAACCCCGCCAAGTGCTCTTTCGAGGTAAAGTCGGGAAAATTCTTGGGTTACTTGGTGACCAAGAGAGGTATTGAGGTGAATCCGGAGAAGGTGCGAGCAGTGATGGAGATGAAGTCGCTGACAAATGTTAAGGAGGTACAAATCTTGGCTGGTCAAATTGCGGGGCTGAGTCCTTTTATATCAAAGGTGGCGGAGAGGAGTGGTCCATTGTTTAAGACACTGAAGAAGAGTGCAAAGTTTTAGTGGACAGAGGAGGCTCAAAGGGCATTCAAGGAGTTGCGAGGAGTGTTAGCCAACCTCTCCCTGTTGGCCAAACCAGTACAAGGTGGGGATTTGGTGTTGTACATTTCCATCTGGGAGAGGGTTGTGAGTTCGGTGTTGCTGCGAGAGGAAGGGGTAGCACTGTTTCCCATCTATTACGTGAGTAGGGTGATGCAAGGAGCGGAGATGAGGTCCTCGGAGATCGAGAAGTGCGCTCTGGCTGTGGTTGTAACTGCTCGAAAACTGAGGCCTTATTTCTTGAATCATAAGGTGAAGGTGCGGACGAACACGCCATTAGGAGAAACGCTTGGCCGACCATCGGTTTCTGGTCGATTGATAAAATGGGCGGTCGAGTTGAGTGAATACTCATTGCTGTATGAACCGAGGAGAGCTATAAAGGCGCAGGTGTTGGCCGATTTTATTCAGGAGGGCACTAAGGTCGAGGAGGAGTCAGGAGGAGTATGGCAGTTGTTTTTGGATGGATCTGTGGCAAGAAGTGGGGCTGGATTGGGAATTGTCCTTGTCTCTTCTAAAGGCGATAATTTGGAGTTCGCAGCCAAAGTGGGGTTCAAATATCTAATAATGAAGCTGAGTACGAGACGGTGATCAAGGGTTTGCGATTAGCCATGGCGGGAGGAGCTTGAAAGGTGCAAGTGCATTCCGATTTTCAATTGGTGGTAGGGCAGTTTCAAGAAGGATTTGAAGTTAAGGAGGATCGGATGCAAAAGTATGTGGACAAGATGAAGAAGTTGAAAGAGGAGTTCGACTCATTCGAGTTGATACAGATCCCTCGAGGGGAGAATAGTCGAGCAGATTTATTTGTCGAAAATTGCCCAGAGTTTGGTGGACTGTAAGAGCAGAAGCGTGACTCTATTACACTTAGAGAGAAGTGCGGTCCAGGCAGAAGTGGTGGAGATTGAAGAAGTGGAGGATTGAAGGGCCCCGATTTTGAAGGAGTTGAAGGAGGGGGCGATCAAGGTAGCAAGGAGATTTTTTGAACATGGAGGCATTCTTTACAAGCGGTCGTATGCTGGACCACACTTGCGGTGTGTAACTAAGGAGGAGGGTCGATACGTGTTGAGAGAAGTGCACGAAGGATGTTGCAGCGACCATAGCAAATCGGGGGCCTTGGTGGCAAAAATTCTAAGGGCGGGGTACTTCTGGCCGACGATGAAAGAGGATGCGAAGGTAATGGTGAAGAAATGTCTACAATGCCAGAAGCATGGCCCACTTATACATCAACCGGTGGAGGCGATGACAACGATGAGTACCCCTGTACCCTTCGCCCAGTGGGGTATCGACCTGGTGGGGCCGATGCCACAGGGAACGGGGCAGAGGAAGTTCTTGATAGTAGCCGTGGATTATTTTACAAAGTGGGTGGAGGCCGAACCTCTGGCGAAAATCACGGAGGAGAAAGTCGTTAACTTCTTATATAACAATATTTGCTACAGGTTTGGTGTGCCTAAGGTGTTGATATCCGACAATGGAACTCAATTCAATGGCAAGCAGATCCGAGCATGGTGTGAGGATATGAAGATCGAGCAACACTTTGCCTCTGTAGCTCATCCGCAAGCCAACGGCCAGGTCGAGGTGACAAATCGAATTATACTGAATGGGCTAAAAAAAGGCTTGAAAAGGCCTCGGGGGCTGGGTTGACGAGCTAACTTCAGTACTCTGGGCTTACCGCACAACCCCAAGGTCGACACCAGGAGAAACCCCCTTCAGTTTAGTTTATGAGATGGAAGCACTGCTGCCAGTGGAGGTCGAGTTGTCATCACAATGATCGAGCACATATAACCCAGAGCAAAATGAAGATCTAATGATAGCGGCCTTAGACACCATCGAGGTGCTGTGCAAAAGAGCAGCAATCCGAGTAGAAGTATACAAACAAAGGACGCGAGCAGCTCATGACAAGAAGGTGAAAGTTCGTAGATTCCAAGTGGGTGACTTGGTTTGGAAACGTGTGGATGTACTCAAACACGTGGGAAAGCTGGAGCCGAACTGGGAAGGGCCATACCTGGTCGAGAGGGTGCATGGAGGAGGAACATACTCTCTAAAGGATGCAGAAGGCCGATCACTTGCCAGGTCATGGAACATAGCTAATTTGAAAAAATATTATGTGTAAAAATTTTTTGTTTTCTTCAAAGAGAGCTGGAGAATTTGAACAAGGATGTAAATCGCAAAGCTTGCTCAAAAAATTTAATGAAGTTCAGTTATCCTTCCGTATAACTTGCTTTATTGCTCATTTTCTTATGCTTGGAATGTTGGTATGATTTGGATGACATGATGTATATGGTGTGGTTTAACTTGGGAGTCGTTTGTCTAAAACATCCCTTGGGGTGGGCAGGTTGGTCGATTACTCACGCCCTCGGGCTGGGTGGCCTCCTGTTTGGAACATTCCTCGCAGGTGGGCAAGGGTAAAGACCAAAACCCACCATGACTAAGGCCCTCGGGCTGGGTGGTCGCTTGTTTAGAACATCCCTTGGGGTGGGCAGGTTGGTCGATTACTCATGCGCTCGGGCTGGGTGGCCTCCTGTTTGGAACATTCCTCGTGGGTGGGGAAGTGTGAAGACCAAACCCCACCATGACTAAGGCCCTCGGGCTGGGTGGTCGCTTGTTTAGAACATCCCTTGGGGTGGGCAGGTTGGTCGATTACTCACACCCTCAGGCTGGGTGGCCTCCTATTTGGAACATTCCTCGCGGGTGGGAAAGTGTGAAGACCAAAACCCACCATGACTACGGCCCTCGAGCTGGGTGGTCGCTTGTTCAGAACAT